AGCTATCAGTGTCCCGGAAACCCAGCTCACTCTCACTTTTCCTCTATTTTTATCCCATCCCCTTTGGTAGCTCTTCAGTACAATCCCGCCATCCTTCCAGGCCCCCCTGTCTCCTAAAGAGGCTCTGTGCATGGATCCACAGGAGGGTTTGGTCCACACATGGCATGATCGAAATGGAAAATGATTCATGAAGTGGTATGTAAGAATAATAATGAGGCTGGGGGCGTGGCTCAGAGGTACAGCCTTTGCCTTTCAAATACAAGAATCTGGGTTCCAATCCCCAGCCCCCCCCACACACACACATACATACACACAAAGAGTAATCTGTGTGGATGGTGTCTGTACTCTGCATGTTCATCTTTAGGGAAGAGGAACTATTATCAAGGCTTTATCCCCACTCCCCTCTTATCCCAATTTCTCTGCATTTTAGAAGAGGATCCTGTTGGTAGGTGTCTCTGTCTGCTTTCTTTTATTGTAAAAAATAAAAATGACCTGAGATAACCTAGTAATTGTTAAGTTGCTAGCACCGCAGGCTGGGGCCAAGGCTTTAACACATGGGCCTTTGTGGGTATTTCAGATCCAATATAAAAGTAGGGAATGGAGGTGGGAGGGTTGGGAAATGAAGACATGATGGTTACACTTCCCAGGTTTCAGGGGCTCAGTGATTTTGAGTAGAGCCCCAAAAGTGTCAGGGGTAGTGTTGTGCCCTCTTCAAGTTGCCAGAGACAGTAGCCCCAAATCTGTCTTTTGGCCCTTTTGAGTATTTTAAAATTGATTGGGATTAATCAAAGGATAAAAGGAATATGAACTACTTTGATATGACATTCCTATAATCTAAATGCCCACATTAAGAGAATAATTAAATAGTATGCATCAATTACAAGAATAAGTTAGATCTATATGTACTGATGTGGAAAATTCTCCATGGGACAAAGCAAGTCACTGAATAATGTATGTAGTGTAGTAGGTTCTCATTAATGCACACGCACTCACTCACACTCTCACGAACTACATTTGCAGTAATTTTGCTTCCTGCTATTTTATTTATCTAGTCAACCACAGTCTTAAAATTTTACACAGAAAATTTTAAAATAATTCATGGAACTTCATTCACATTCGCATAATTTTATGACAGTATGTTGTTATAATTGTTTTATTTTACTGGTTATCTCCTACTGTGCCTAATTTATAAATTAAACTTTCTCATAGATGTGTACACACAGGAAAAAGACATTCACAGTGCCAGACATCCAGGGGAGGTCTTGGAAATTATTTCCCCAAACTGGAGAGCTGCTGGATATGTAGAATGCATGTGTGATAATACATGAGAAAGGTCCAGATGGATTCACCTTAAACTGTCAAGAGTGACCCTGGACGGAGAGAGAAGTGACCTGATGGGAAGAAGAAATGAAATTGGATTTTCACTGTTTATTCTACGTATTTCTGTTCTGTTTTACTTTGGGCTTATAAGGTACACGTACAGGTTGTTTTGTTTTGTTTATAAAACCAGTAAATATTTCCACTTCAAGGAAAATTAATAAACTGATCCCCCTGTGGTCAGACATTTACTGAAATCAGTTTGGGATTGTGGCACGAGGGACAGTGCTCTAGGCTAATGTCCCCATATGAATGGACATCAAGGTGGACCCATGACTCAAGCAAGCTAAGCCCTTGTCTATGACCTATACACCTCTATCATGCCCTGAAGAAGACCTTTGATAACTGAACCTTGATAGTACGTTCTAGATGAGCATCAAGAACTTGCTTGTGTTGTATCTGGCTGGAATAGCAGGCTCCATCCATTTCCCCTAATAAAATTCACCTCAGGAGTCAGGAATGAAAATATTTTGTACATCTTGCTGTGGCACCTGTGCAGACACACACACACATAGTTACCTGACTAATGATCTAGCTTCAAGATTGTTTTTTCAAGGAGCCAAGGGGAAGGTTATCACAAAAATTGTACCTTCTCACAGGAAAATGCTATTAATCAAATGTGCAGAAAATGTCAACTTGAGAGTGTCGTGTCTACTTCTTTCCTACATGGAGTGCAGGTGAACATGCTGGTGGACAGCTCTCAAGTGTGAACCCGTCAATAGCCACCTACCCCACATCTCCATCTCCAGCGCTCCCTGTGATGGTGCCTCCAGGCTGAGTCTCAAGCCTCCAGTTCTCTGGGGTCCATATTTGTCCTAAGCTATGACCCAGCCAGAATCTCCTGGCTTCTGCCTCCAAGTTTCCTTTTAAGAGGTGAGAACCCATAGCTGTCCAGGCCCCAGCCCAGTCACGCTCCTGGTGCCCAGTGTGCATCCTGACCACCCAATAGAAGCTACCTAGTGATTCTTTCATGGCTGTGGGTAACACTGGCTGAAAACTCGAGCACCCTATTGGGAGAGCCTAGCCCTGGGCAGCTGGAAACCCAAAGTAAGCTTGATCACAGTGGGTTACTCAAGGAAGGTTGGGGGAGAGGTTTGCCCTGGCTACAGGCAATTGCAGCACAAACTGGAGGTGAATTTGTCCATGGATACTTAAGCCACAGATAAAACCGACTAAAAGTTGTTCTGCTTTGTGTAACCATCATGCAGCTGAAAATCCCAAAAAATGTCAGCGGGGGCGGGAAATCAGTCCTCCCTGCTGGGGAGGACCACCCCTTCCCTGCACAGCAGCGCTCAGGGGACTCGCTGCTGACATCATGATCAAGAATCTGAAGTCTGAAGTTAGACACCTGTTAGAATCCTAAGCCTACCACTTATTAGCTAATGAACTTGGCAAGTTACTTAACATCTCAGAACCTCCATTTCCTCTACTGTTAAATGTTAATGTAACACTTCGCAGGGTCATTGCAAAGATATCATAAGAGAAACTATGTGAAAATTCTTGCTAAAGTGATATAAAATCCTTAGTAAAGTGATATAAAATGTCTTCTTATTTGTAGGTAAGATGAGGTGTCTACTAGAGGCGGTCCAAATATGGCTGGTGTTTTGATCTTCTGTGCACTGCACATGTTACACTCTTTACACAAAGCTTGCACCCCTTGCACCTGTTCAATTCTCATTGCTCTTCACCCCTCCCATTTGAATCTTCCAGACACACCCCTCAGCCTGACATTTCATTCTAAGGCCACACTTGTTTTTTAAATCCAAATTAAGTTGACCAAAGTGCCTGCCTAATGAGATATGGTATACGATCTATCTCTTCCTGGATTGTCCCTCACAGGGATCCCAAAGAATCACCTTTACTTCTTTATGAGTCAGTTCCCCTGGCCACTTAGCCACCGTCACCTGTCAGGAGCTCAGATACTGGCTCCAGACTGGACACTGCCCCCTAGGCTACAGGGGTGCCTTGGTGCTTCTGGGCACCTTGTGGGCACTAGATGGCCAAGCAGATGTTCCTTCTCTTGGTGTCCAGTCAGTCCAGTCAGTGAGGGAAGGGTGCTCACAGAAAACCTGGTTGGACTCCAGGGGCACAGCTCTGGGCAGTCCTTCTTCCAGGTGACAGTCACTATCACCTGCCAAGGTCAGGCCACAGGACCAGGTTCCTGAGCCAGAGGAGCTCAAGCCTCATTGCCTTCCTCTGACTGAGGCCTTGGGGCTGAGTCCAGGTCATTGGTCTAAATCTGCCGTCCTTTATGCTGAGCGCTTTACCTAGACCACTCAGTGGCTTGGTGCAAAATTCAAAAATTATCCTGTTCCCTGAACTATTCCCATAATGCACTATCTTTTTTTTTTTTTTTTTTTGCCTGGAAGAATGAAAACCTCCGAGATGACCTGGTGCCTCAGCTAGGCCTGGCTTGATCAGGGGCCCACAAAGCCAAGCCCCTGAGCAGCTCATTTGCTAGGAAGTGCCAACACACTCTGGGACCTGCCTGGGGGTTTGGTCTGGAATGTGGCAGAGGCCTGGGCATTACCAGTCCTCACCTCTCCTCTCAATAAAAAGACTCTCGTTAAAAAAAAAAAAAAAAAAAAAAAAAAAATAATTGAAACCCGACTCTGGCTCAGCCAACAACGGACTACTTACTGGAGGATGAGGATTAGCCTGTCCTTTAGAATGATCTTCAGCTGTTTTGCTTCTGCAAATGGGCTTCCCACAGTGGGGCTGAGGAAATAGAATCTTTTCTGACCACTGTTGGGTGCTCAATCTCAGCCTGGTAAAATCCATATGTGAAGGAAGCCCTGACCCCCATGACCATATGTGGAGAAAGGGTCTTTTAGAGGAAATTAAGGCCAAAGAAAGGAATTAGGATAGGCCTAGTCCAATATGAAGGGGAAATTGGATGCAGAAAAGTACAGAGGAAATGTAGGAAGAAAACAGAGGCTTAAAACAGGCCCTTCCTCACAGCCCTCAAGACACCAACCCTGCTGCAGCTTTGATCTTGACTTCTGGCTAAGTAAATTCCTACTGCTTAAACCACGCAGTCTGTGGTTCCTTGCTACAGCACCTCGCAAACCAACACAACCACTCAATACTTAAATAAATAAGAAATAAATAAATGAATAAATACACGAGGCAGGAGTGACCTGATTCTCTCTGCTAGGTGTGGGTAGGTGTGGGGGGTGCCCTGAGGCTACTTCAGGATCCATTTCCTCCCATCTTCTGGTAGATTCACAGCACAAGCCAGGGTTGGCTCAGGCTTTACCTCTGTGTTTGATTCCCGGAACACTTGATAGGCTCCATTTCTCATTCTTTAACAGTAAGACTTCCTGATGACTCTAGGAAGATGCAGAGGACAGGGGCAACAGATGGGACTTATGAGGAAGCCCACGGGTGGGGTCAGGATGACACTGCTCACCCAGCATTGAAGCTTCATCAAGGTTTGATTCCAATGCATCAGTCGCTCAGGCAGATGCAACCAAAGAACCACATGTGATGCTGCGCTGGAGGTTGAAAGTAGGGGGATCTCAAGGTCAAGGCCAGCCTCCTCGGCAACTGAGCAAGATCTTGTCTCAAAATAAAAAATAAGAACAACTGAGGGTGTAGCCTTGTGGTAAAGTGCCCCTGGGTTCAACCCCTAGACCCCGCAAAATAATTAATTAATGAAAAAGGGTTGCGAATATAGTTCAGAGGTAGAACACCCCTAGGTTCAATTCCCAGTACTGAATTAAAACAAAAAAGTAACCATGGAAACAAAGGGACCCACCTCTAGGGACTGGAGGTGAGTGGGATGCTGCTGACCTGTTTCTAAAACTGGAACAGAAATAAGATGAGTATCCTTGAGGCAGAAAGAGAAAGAAGCCCTTCCAAGGATGGTGCTGGGAGGGAAGAAGCATCCGCAGCCCTCCTTCCCACCCTGGGCACACGACATTTGCCAACTAACTGGACGATGCCTTCGCAGGTCACCCGCTCAGAGCTAAAGGAATCATTTGGGTTTGGTGTCTCTCCCATGCCTTTTTCTTCTTCTTCTTCTTTTTAAAAGAAACATTATAAAGCTGAACATCTAGGATGATTTTGGATTCACACCCACTGTCTGTGGAACAGCTTGAAGCTGACTAGATTAGCTCGTTGGAACATTCTGGGATCTGCTCAGACGCTGCCCACACACAAGAGCCTGGTTCCAGCCAAGCTCAAAGAGAACGGGCTCTTGCAAGTGGCTCCTTTCATTGTCCCCCCTCCCGTCAGCTTGGGCTGCTCTTTGCCATCTTTATCTGGAGTCTTGGGGCAGTGGCTTCCATCCTTGCTGTGTCCCTCATGCCAAGCTTTCAGGAAGCCATGGCTCAGACTCTGTACACAAGTCCCTGGGTCCCTCCTGTCTCTCCTCCCCCGATTGCCTGTATTTTAACGTATCTGAACAGGCTGCTACGTGAGCCTCCTTCTCCCCAGTTCTCTTCCTGCCAGTTCTTGTTCTGTTCCCTCCTCTGGCTCTCTTGCTCTGGTAACTAATTTGCCCAGACAAAACGAACCTTATGCAATGCGCCTCCCCTGGCTCCCAGCACGAGTGTCTCTCAAGCCCTGGTTGAAGCACAGACATCTACCTATCCCACTCGCAGAAGCAAACACCAAGATGAGCTCCCTGGCGCCTTTCCAGGGCTGAGTTCAAGACCAGGACCAGCAAAGAGGAGCGCTCTCCTTCCTTGCACCCCAGCAGGCCCTGCCTCAGCTACCTGGTCAGAGATTACATGAGCAATTGTCACATAATTGTCACTTAATCTCTTCCCAGAGATTTCAACTGGCTCCAAATTGTTTTGGCTAATAAAAACTAAGGAGATCTGCAAGACATTCCAGATGCATGGAAACACTTTGGGGGATTGCGCAGCCTGCAGGCAGATGAAACTTAACTCAAATAAACATAAGGTAATGTGCGTTGGCAAGAGTAATCTAAGACGGAGGGTACATCTGTGTGCTCCGAATTTGCAGCTGCCTCTGAGAATAGAGACCTGGGAATAGTTCGAAATGGATGAAGTGAGCAGAGAAGCCAAAGACCATCCCAGAGTAACTACCCCTCGACAAGGCGAATCAGATCTCATTTTGCACAGACCCCCATCAGCAGCCCAAATAGAAACATCGGTGACAGATTCCACTTGACACTTCCTGCTTTCAGGTGTGGCGAGACAGCAGGAGTGGCTTCAAATCTAGTGCCTTGGGAAGCCACCTGGTGGTAGTATGTGGTTTTCCCCAGGGGGTAAGTAGAAGTGCAAGTTTTGGCCAGCCTTTTCACTGCTGTGATCAAAAGGCCCAACCAGAACAATCGTAGAGGAGGGAAGTTTATTTGGGGGCTCATGGTTTCAGAGGTCTCACTCCATACACAGGCTCCATTCCTCAGGACTCTAGGTGAGGCTGAGCATCATGGCGGAGGAGTGTGGCGGGGGGAAGCAGCTCACAGGATGATATGGAAGCAGAGAGAGACTCCACTCGCCTGATCAAAAGCACATACTCCAAAGGCAACCCTCAATGACCTACTTCCTCCAGTCTCATCCCACCTGCCTTCAGTTACCACTCAATCCTGTCGGGGATTAAATCACAGATCGGGTTAAGGCTCTCATAACCCAATCACTCTTTCTCTAAACCTTCTTGCATTATCTCACAAATGAGCTTTTTGGGACACCTCACATCCAAACCATAATAATACGCGTCTGTGTTTGTCAGTTGGTACCACTGACTGCTAAGCTCTAGAAGGTTTCACATTGTGTGCACTTGATGTCTAACCCCCAGGATCACATTTAGATGAAGGGCCAGCTTCCAAATCACAGCAACCCTGACCTGCCTGTTAATTCCTTATGTTTTACACACAAAAAATCTGTGTTATATCATGTCTTATATGCATCTGCTATAAAGGAATTTTAGTTTTTAAGATAGAAAGACATGGGGCTGGGTTGTGGCTCAGCGGTAGAACATTTGCTTAGCATGTGCTGAGGTGTGGGTTCAATCCTCAGCACCACATAAAACTAAAACAAAGGTATTGTGTCCAATTACAACTAAAACAAAAATATTTTTTTAAAAAAGATGGAAAGATATAGATGCATATAGACCTGCACCTATGCATACATATATATAAACAAAGAAAATATAGATATATATGTGTATATTCACACACACACTCACAGTGCTCATGTGATTCCTGTGGGTCTGTCTCCATCTGGCCCAGGAGACTGGTAAGCAACTCTACCAATACTGTAGAGATACCAGCTTTTACAAGGCAGGAGAAGGTTGGCACAGATGGCAATCTTTTTTTTTTAACCTTTGTTTTATTTATTTATTTTTATGTAGTGCCGAGGATCGAACCCAGGGTCTCGCACGCGCTAGGCAAGCCCTCTACCCCTGAGCCCCAGCCCCAGCCCACAGATGTCAATTTTGACATCAGCAACATCCAACAGCCTGTGTCTCCAAATCTCTGAAGGAGCGGGCTGAAGGCCATCACTCCTAAATCTTCAAGGCTTCTCAGAGGGGGACTGTTACCTAGAAACAGGAGAGGAAGAAAGGACCTGTCCCCTCCCTCTTGCCTCACAGCACCATGAGCACCAGGCCTTTAGGCAGCTGAGCTACCTCCCCTTTCCCATGGCGATGGAGGACAGTGCAGGAGCAACAATTTTAAGGGAAACTGTGGCTTGAGAGGGAAATTTGATTCTGGAGTATTCTCCCACCTAGAAAGCAATGAGAGAACTCCAGAGCTTGGCAGTCTCAACACCGCTCCTACCATAGAAGTAAAAGGGAGACATGGCCACAATCCTGCCTGCAGGAATCGGGCAGGTTGATTTGGCCTGGCCAATGTGCATGGATCTGAATCATCACTCTTCTCCTGATGGTGCAAAATACTAAGCCGGAACAAGGGGTAGTTCAGAGGGGCCAACGTACACTGTGTGGAGTTCCCAGTTGTGTGAAAGTCAGTCACTGAAAATTGTGGACTTCTTCCTGAATTTTCCCTGAAACCTGAAGTTCTCTCCTATTCCTTGGCCAGCAGCTATTCTACCTGGAATCCCATGTTGTCTGGCAAGCAGAAGCCATTTCCCAATTCCGCTGCTACCCTGATGCCAACATTCTAGGACCAGGGAGTGTGGGCATGCCTCAGTGGTACAGCGCTCACCTAGCCATGTGTGAGGTCCTGGGCTCTGTCCCCAGCACCTCCTCATACCTAAAAAAAGCATACCACTCCATTTTATGTTCCTCACAGTCTAATAATTTCTAATAACACATGGAATACAATGGAATAGATTCATTCATTTATGCATCAAATATTTTCCCTTTACTCTGTACAAGACACTACGATAAAGCTGGAGAAAATAAGGTAAAGATTTAGGATCCAATTGAAAAAGAGAAACTACAGAGTTTGCAGAGTCCATAAGAACAACAAAGCAAACAAAATGCTCAGAACAATTTGTCTTGGGACTAATTAAGTAGGAATTTTCCTATAAAGTACTACTAAAGAGGACACAGAGCAATGTCATAAGCAAGGAATGCATCAGTTCTTCTCAGACCCAACGCGACATGCAGATCACAGGGGATCTGGTTCAGAAGGTCTTGTGGGGGCCTGAGCTTTGCATGTCTAACAGGCCCTTGGCGATGTCCCTTGGCCATGCTGCTGGTCCTCAGACCACACGTGGGTGGTCTAGCCTACATCACATTTGACTGGGCTCCCTCCCACACAAACACTAAGTACTTGGGGTGGTGTCCTGACAAAGAGCCATTTAATTCTAGCAATGTGTTTACTAGGAAGCTAATGACACCCATGTAGCCAGCTCTCAACCAAATGTTTCGCAATATTTGGAAGAATAGCAAAGTGAATATATTCTTATAATTCTTCCTATTTTTTCCCAAATTTATTTCTTATGCTATTAGATGGCTATAAAGTCAAGATGGCTTCCAAGAAATACTAGGCTGCCTCTAGAACAAGACCATCAGCCATAGCAGACACCAACCTCCTCCTACGGAGTTGAGGGGTCTGGAAAGAACTGGCCTCAATTAAGAAGGACAGGGATGTGAATAGAAGAAGAAAGGAAGAAAGAACTTTCCAGAAGAATAGAAGCACTTAATATAAAGACACAAATGCAGGAAGAAACATGTAGAGTGTTTAGAAGATACTGCTTCCTTGGAACATCCTCCCCCACCCTGAAATGGTCTGTGTGGCTTGCTTTCTTACCTCCTCCAGCTCTCTGCACAAATGTCACCTCTTCATATCACTCCATCTAAAACAGCTTCCTTCTGCACCTGCCAGGACTCACTGTCCCCTTAACCTGCTTCACCGCAATTATCACCAGCAGAGATCCAATCACATAGTAGAAAAAAAAGTTCATTATAAGTGGAGATCAAAGCCCTAAGGCAGGATCAAGCTGTGGAATGCAATCAATAAGGGCAAAAGTGTCCCCAAATGCCTTTAAAGAGGACACCAAGAACCATGGGGGGGGGCCCTGGGAAGGGGCTTTGCATTCTGCATCTATCAACTTTTGCTCTATGGCAACTACAGATGTGCAGAGCAGGAAGCATCTATTTCCAGGTCAGCTGGGCAGCCATCAGCCCTGTCTCGTTCTGAGGCTTGAACTGACGCAGGAGCAGCAGGCTTGGGGCTACGTTCTTGTCCTGGCAAGATCAGAAGTGAAGAGGGCGAACCCAACAGTTCACGTCCATCACCCATAAAAGTCAGGTGCACCACCATCTCATAGCCAAAACATAACAATGACTAAGTCAGTCAAGGGGCAGGGAGTACCCCAGAGCTGATTCCTCAAGCCTCATGGGATTATGCTGTGGCTAGGTTCAAGTATAGTGTAAATGGAGACATTTGACCATGGATTTGTTTTTCACATTCTCTTCATTGCATGAATAATAGACCCAGCCTAGCCCAGGGGCACAGAGTCAGAGAGACCACAGCAGAATGTATTCAGTGATGAACACAGCTTACTGAGGCCTTGCTATGTTCCCAAGAGCTAGGAGAATACAAGAAAAGCCCAAGACTTTGACCTTGTCTTAGAGATCACTGTATGAAACTGTGGTCCACTAGGAACTGCAGCCTTGAGGGAAAGGGAAAGCATTCTTGTTCCTTGTTCCCGATGTTCTCCTAGCCCTAGCACAGCTAGATGGAAGACAGAAAAACCAAGCAGGAGGCCCCTGCTCCAGGGCAGGTGTCTGACGAAAGTCACTATGGACATCAAAAGAGTGGAAATGAGCACACGGTCAAGAGGTGAGCAGAAAGGTCCCTGACTACTAACGGCATGTGCCATTTTCAGAATGAAGGATGAAAGGAAGGAGGACAACTTGAAACTCATTTCAGCTGAGAAGATAAGATAGCAGGATGGTGAGTCAAAGGCAACTGACTGGTTCACAGTCTCCAGGAGGAACAGAAGGGCTTCCATGCCACTCCACTTAGATCCTGCGTTGTCACATCTCAGGTTCCCAATACAGATGGCAAAATGAGCTTCTCTGAGAAGGCATGTTTGGAAAGCAGACCACTCTATAGAAGGAACACATGCCACCTGGAATTGTCATCCATGGAGAAATGAACAAGTTCTCCATGAGAAGGTGTCAGGGTGTCTCCATGAGAAGCTGTGACAAATGTCATGCAGAGAGATTCTGACCGGAGCAGGGTGGGGCAGAGGAGGTTCCTCCTTTAGGTGGTACCATGGTTTGGATCCTAAATGGTCCCCCTGTGCTGATGGTTTGGTCCTCTGTGGTGCTATTGGAAAGTGGTGGAAGCTTTAGGAGGCGGGGCCCAGTGAAAGGAAGTGAGGTCACTGGGGGTGTGCCCCTGAATGGGATATTGGGACCCTGGCCCCGCCTCTTCCACGCTCTTCCTTTGGGCTTCCCAGGTGCTGGTGAGATGAACAGCCCTCTTCTGCCATGAGATCCTGGGCTAGCACAGGCCAAAATTGACTTCTCTCAGGTATTTGTCACAGCAGTTGAGAGCTGACTAACACAGACTTCATCACATCAAGGAGCTGGAGATTCCTTGAGATCCTGAATGGCAGGACAAAACTAGTCAGATGTCAGGGACAGGCAATAGCATTTGTCAGAAAACCTCTCCCTAAGAACTGTTGAGGCTTATAAAAGACCTGAATTCTGAGGCCCAAAGAACACCCATTTATTCAAAATTTTAAATTAAAATAAATAGCAAATAATAATAATAATAATAATAGCAATAACAAAATAATCACATAACCAGAAGAGAAATAGAAGCCAGTTAAGTGGGTCATATCAAATCCATAACTTCTTTCAACTTCAGTTCTTTCATCTTTAGAGCTGGGTGTTTGGACTAAGCCCCCTTTTATCATCCCTTTTCTTCTGAAATTCTGTGATCCATTAAAGAGCACCTTGTAAGATACTCTCCAAAAATGTCAAAAACAAAAACAAGAAACAGAAGACATCCGTGGAATGAGAGAGACTGTTCTGGTGCTCTGCCTTGCCCTTTACCTCGGAAGACGTGGGTCCTTGAAAGGGACAAGTTGGAGCACTCAATAAAACTGTAGAACAAAAGAGTTTCAGGAAATTACCCGGACAGGATGCGATCACCTGAGAATCTTGAATGGATTCATGGGCAGGGTTGTGAAGCTGGAGACTCGGATGAGACCAGTTGTTACAACAGCTGCTGTGCCTGAGGACAGTCAGGTTGCCAACGCCAGCCTCGCTCTGACTTTCCAGAAGGGACCTGGGAAACCACCAACTGTTGTTTCTCCATTCCGTCCTAGCCAGGCTTCTGGAATCTTTAAATAAAACACAGAAGTGTAGAAAGTTGAGATCAGCACACCCATCAAGGCAAAGGCAGGAGAGGTTCTCCAGGGAGGAGCCATGGCCAATCGGTCGAGTCCTTGGAGCACAGAGAAAGGGGAGGAGTCATCTGTAGATTTTGGAAATGCCTTTGACAAGTGTCCACACCCCAAACCTTAATTGTGGGCAAATAAGGAGCAACTGGGTTTCCACAGGATAAAGGGACTATTTGAAAGGGACAAGAAATTGAATTTCAACATAAGAAAACCAGGTCATTAAAAAAAAAAGACATTTCTTCGTTTAAAAAATAAGAAAGGGGTTTCTCAGAGGTTGGTAGGGACCCATCTTGGTGAATAATTTTATAAAAAGATCTGAAGAACAAAGTACACGGTGAAACTTTCAACTGTAGATGTTCTTAAGACATTTTAAGTGAAATGGTGAGTCAATGGGATAAGGATTTGAAAGCTGAAGAGAAAATGATACAAGAATTTCAATTTCAGGGCAAGTTCAAGTTAAAGCACTATAAGAACAAAGAGTTTTAAACCATCACCCAGAAATTTTCCATAAAGCCAAGAGAAGATTTAGGGAGTTATTTACTCTCTGAGAACTTAAAGCCTGAAGCAGTAACATCAGAGACAACAAAATTCCAGTCACTCCAGGAGGATTTGTTAAGTGAATGAGTGAAGTACTCAGCCATCAGAAAGATCCCAAATGGAAATACGTCCCACACTTGAACTATATGTAACAGGCTGTTAAAATGGGACTCTCTTGCCAGGTAGGGTGATATACAGTGGTAATCCCAGCCACTCAAGAGGCTGAGGTGGAAGGATTACATATTCAAGGCCAATCTGGGCACCCCAAGACGCTACTCAAAACAAAATTAAAAGGGCCGGGGGTGTAGCTCAGTGGTAACATGTCTGAGACCCTGAGTTGCATCCCCAGTACTGGGTGGCAGTGAAGGCCCTCTTGCGCCTGTTTCAGTGGAAACATAGAAACAATAGATGTTCTATTCCAAGTAAGGCCTTTGTTATTTATAGGACTTATAAAAGGAGATGGCTGGTAATCTCCAAAAGATACACACCGAATGATTCCACAAAATAGCATAATTATAGAGATGGAGAACAGGCTGGTGATTGCCAAGTCAGGGATGAGAGAACTGAGTAGTTTTGTAAAGGGGTAACAGAAGAGAGCCACAATTAAACATTTTGATGGTGATGGTGGTGGTTACCTGAAACTACACGTAGCATAAAATTGCACAGAGTCACAAACACACGTGTACAATCGAGTACATGCACAACTACTCAAATCCAAATAAGCCTGTGGATTGTACCAATGTCAATTTCCTGGTTTTTCTGTGGCTGTCATCATGCAAGATATTAACATTGGAGGTGAAGACCACATCATATCTCTTTGCAATTTCCTATGAACCTATAATGATTGCAAAATAAAAATTTTATAAAAAGGGGTAGAGCCGGGAACAGTGGCACATGCCTGTAATCCCAGCAGCTTGGGAGGCTGAGGCAGAAGAATCACGAGTTCAAAGTCAGCCTCAGCAAAAGCAAGGTACTAACCAGCTCACTGAGACCCTGACTCAAAATCAAATACAAAATAGGGCTGAGGATGTGGCTCGGTGATCTAGTGCCCCTGAGTTCAATCCCTGGTACCCCTGAAAAAAAAAGAAAGAAAGAAAAAGGGGGGTTAGAGTCTCAAATACAAATTTCAACCCTAAGTTGACCACTCAGCTCTCGCCTACATAAGAGTCAAGAAAAAAGAGTGGAGGCTGGCAGAACATTTCTAGAGAATTCTCAAGATTCTCTGATTCTAATCCTGTCCTTGGAGTAAGGACTGGGTACTGGCCTCTTGGTTAAAGTGACTGAAGAGCCTTCATAAGGAACACTCTGAGAGGATGCTCTTTGTCCTTTGTAGCTGAGATACATTCAACTGTGTCTGACGCCCAGCTGAGAAATTCCAAGAGTAAGAATTGGGTTAGCCAGCTACTGGCACAGGAGCCCAGGAGAGGAGGCTGGGCTGGGTGGCTGCTCTCATTCAGTTCGTTAGTGCAAAGATATAGGACTGCTTTTCCTGAGCCATATGTGGACCAAACAGCGCTCTCCAAGAGGGTTGCCTAGAGACACAAGAAAGCAGCAGAGACAGAGATGCTGGCGCATTACCTGTGTGGATGCCCAGGTGAGAGGGAGGTGTATCGTGATTGGCTTGTCCAAAAGCCAATCACAGCTGAGTACAAGGATCAGCTTGCAACACTTCCCAATTCTTGGCCAGGCAACGCCATGCTCACCATAGCAGCAGGCAAGGAAAAACTTCTCTAACCAATATTTTCTTTCTCCCCTCCCTGTGCTCCACCCCCAGAGGGTCAGAAATCACAGATAACAAGACAGAAGAGGAAGATGATAAAGCACGAGGTGAAAAAGAACATACCCCTCTCCCTGCCAGCTCCTCCACCTACAACAGGTCGCAATCGGGGAGGAGGGGAAAACTTGCTGTGGATCAAGCACTATATGTTAGAGTTCTGGATTTTTAAATTATTAATGGAAGAACCTTGTATTAAGTGGGTGCCCCAGAAACCTGCCTGATTTTTTATCCAGAAGTAAGAGAAGAACAGAGCCCACACTACAGATTTAAAGGGACAGTGGGAAGCAGAATGTTGGTTCATGATCACACGCCAGGGTCCTGCTTGCTCAAGGCGATAGTTACGATGGTTATGCTGAGTGCACATGGAGGACTCTGCAGCACTATTTGGTCAAGAAAGATAACACAGAATTGCAGGGGGCAACTAAAAAGGCCAAGGGCACAGTGTCGGGGAAGGCTGCCCTGGCATCCAAGAAGAGACTTACAAAGATTATAACATCAACATGAAGGCAAAGGTTGAAATAAATTTTATTGAAATCAGTAAAATAATAGATTATATGAAAAAGGTCAATAAAAATTCTTCGTCAGACTCCAGAATAAAACAATAAAAGGGCACCATTCAAAATAAGGAGAAACAAAAACAAATGCTGGTATGTTTTTAACCTATACCAATAAGTGGTTAAAAGCATAAATGGCTATTGTGAAACATTAATTCACTCAATTTTGAAAAATAAATATGCCTCATAAAACACTTTTAGAGAAGAATCCAAAATTATGTCAACAAAATATAAAGTCCTGAAATGGAATTAGAAATACCCATCTTGTGCTGATATTTAATAAGCTTCAATAATAAACTTTAATTTTCTAGCTGGGCATGGTGGCACACATCTATATTCCCAGTGACTCAGGAGACTGAGGCAAGAGGATCTTGAGTTCAAAGCCAGCCTCAGCAACTTAGTGAGGCCCTAAGCAACTCAGTGAGACCCTGTCTCTAAATAAAATATAAAAAAGGGCTGGAATGTTGCTCAGTGGTTAAGCATCCCTGGGTTCAATCCCTGGTACGTACCCCCCCCCCGCCAAAAAAAAACCTAAAATATGCCCCATGGAACCCTTTCTGGGGAGAAACAGGTATCTATTATTACAGTCACACCAAATGAGATTCATTGTAAAAACTTAGAGTTTCAATAGCTACTGTATTGATTTGAAATGTATTTCATGAATAGATGGAACATCACTAATGGAGTGTCACTAACATTATTCTGGCAATGACACCACAATGATGCTTAACTTCATCTGAACAGGCTTCAAGATTTTTAAAGGTTTAGGATCATGGTTTCCACTTCCCCTGCCTCAAAGGCCTTCAAAGCACTGCTATGCCCGACTCTGGCATAAATGTGGTCTGTGCTTAGGAGGGCCCTGAGTCTTTGGTGACCATTCTATCCTAGACTGCATACTTCTGGAATTCTTTCACATGAGAAAAAAAATAAACCTTTACTTTGTTTGAACCACATGACTAATGTTGTTAGCTATATGTAGCCAAACCTAATTCTGACACACAGATGTTTGGTAAATATTTGTTGAATACATAAACGTGGTTTTTTTCCTTAAGGTTTTGTTAAAAACAGGCAGTGCTATATTCCCCACTCCAAGTCTGTAATGAAGCAGTTCTGGAAGTGGTAACCAGGTGATTGTGATCTTTATCACATTAGTTTGAAACCATTAATTGATGATCCTTCCATTAAGCTGCATCTACGCAGAACACAACCACTAAGGGTTCACTTCCTTGACCGCTGTGTGACCGAAGGCAACTTGCCTCTGACTGAGCCTGTTTTGTCATCAGTAAATTGGGTCAATGTTGTAAGTGTTGCTTCATAGCTGGACAAAGAGTATGTACACTGAGCTGGAGACTGGCAATGTCCAGATCCTGGCTGTGGAAACCAGAACTTCACCTGGAGAATATGCTCAGTGCTGGATGTGTCCTCCTCCAAAGGGGTTCCCTAGAAATTCCCAGGCCCTCTTGGGAGGAAGCCTCCTCTGTGCCCTCCACAGTCACCCCTGCAATGCATGGGTCTTCCAGGACCTCCTAGGCCCCCTGGACTTCCATGGAGTGAGGTTGGCATTCGTCTGCCTCTCAGAGTGGCACGCTACCCCGCATGCTGCCACTGGAGGATTCTTGTAAGCAAGAGAGACTTTCAGTTGGCTCATTTGAAAGTCTTTTCCATCAGACCACTCCATGGCAGCCTTGGGAGCCGGCAGGTCTTCCTAGCACCCCAAGGCATGGCCTCTGGCCTCTCCTGTTTCCTTGTCCATCTTAACCCCACACTGCTTAAAGGTGGCTGCCAGATCATCAAGGGGTCACATTGTCATCTAATAAGCACTGTTCATGTCTTCTGCTGTCTGTCTTCATTCAGACCCACAGGAGGGCCTAGATCAAGACCAGGTCCTTCAGCCATGGTTCACCAGGCTTATTGAAGGCGCCTGGCTCTCCAGGGTCCATTCGCCACATCCTTCTCCCCTCCCACCTCTGCTCATGCCTCCACATTCAAATCCCCCTCTTTCCCTGCCCCAGTTACCAGGGCCACTTGTGTTCTGGTTCTTTCCCGGTCCAGAAAATCCTCCTGGCTCCTTCCCATAAACCCCTGTACTAGTCAGGGTTCTAGAGGAACAGAGCCAACAGGAGGGGTGATTATTAAAAGGGGATTTATTAGAGTGGCTCACAGGACCAGAAGCTGGGTAGTCCACAGTGGCCTTCTGCAGGCTGGAGGGCTGGAGGAACCAGTAGCTGCACAGCCCATGAGGCTGAAGCCTCAGAACAAGAGGGATCAACAGTGCTACCCCAGTCTGAGACCCAAGGCTTCTGGCAACTCCCTGGAGAATCACTGGCAGAGTCGGCTTTGGAAGAGTGAAGAAGCAAGAGTCCCATTTCCTCAGGCCATCGCAGCAGCAATCAAGGGCCTGTTCAAGAAGAATCGAGCTCCGCATCTGCTGCTGCTTCCTCCTGCTTCCAAGTTCATTCCATGCACGCCACCATCCTATTGGACAGTGCTACCCACACTTAGGGAGGGTCTCCCCTTCAGTTCACTATCCCACATGACAATCATTCTACACACACCTTATTGACACACCCAGAAGCCACTTAATCTTTGGCATCTCTCAATCCAATCAAGGGGACAATTCAGATTAACCATTAGGACACCCGTGCTGCTGGGTTGGTCCTGGCTGAGCGGTCTCTGCTGCTCTATTGAGAGCCTGACCTGCTGGCTGCAGGATCCAGTGGGTGGGGGTAACGAGTGGGAAGCTGCAGTCCACAGCTGGCGTGTTGACCAGAGCTACAGTGCTGTCCATAGCTGCTCAGATGCCCAGAGATGTTCTGCTGAGAGTAACTGCTCTATTCATAACCAGCTATGTAGACAGAGAGCTGGTAGGAGGACAGGATGGAGGGGCACCGACTGGCTGTATGGGGTAGCTCCCAGGAACTGGGGACCACTGTAGTGACTCTGTCTGTATCCTAGATTGGACTGGGTATAAGCCCCTGTGCTCCACGGAGGTTGACGAGTCTTAGTGGACTTTTCCATCTTGCAGTCTTGCAGGTGCAGTAGCTGCCAGCTGCTACCCAGAGGCTGGTTGAGCAGGCTGAGTGCCGTGCACACACTGAACTGCACAGAAGGCCTTGGTGGCAGTGGTGTTATCATACCCCTGGCCAGGCGGGCTGTATGCCTGGGGCTGCAGGTGGAGTAGTATAGCCAGCAAGAGGTTGTCCATAGAAGTTGCATTTGTGACCTGAACATAGGTGGCGGTGGACAGAGCCCAGCATATAGCTGACAGAAGTAGACTGTGCAGAAGTTCCATGGCTCTGTTGCCATATGCCTGGTGGTCTGTGCATATCCGTGAGTTGGCTGCACTTTGTCAGCTCTAGCCCAGCTGGACTGCAGCTTGACTGTGGATACTGTGATCTGTAGATGCCATTTTCTCTCCTAGTAAATATTCTTTAGAAGACTTGACGTCAATGAAGAAGAAGTTAGTGAGAAGATAGTGAGATACTAACTCTTCACAAAGCTGGCCCATATTTGGGGCTGATAACTGGGATAACCGAGAGGTGGACCTAAATGATGGCATCCTGGCTACTGACACAGACAACTGAAAGAAGAGTGACCAGAGGGCTGTGGGCTTGCTGCAGCTGAGCTTCTAGTTAGATAAATATGCAGGCATAGTTTCCCTCAAAGACCAAATGCCTGTCATAGTCTCAACATAATAAAAAAAGAATGTCTCAGATTAGCCACTTCTAACCTGTCTTATCTTTGGAAATGAAAAGACTATTTATAGATATCAGAGTCCTTCTGGAAGGGCTGCTTTGAAGAAATACATGCAGGCGGTCTCCGTGCGGTCCTCATTACAGGTCCCTGGAGCGCAGGTCCTCCCATGTGACAGGCCTCACTGAGCTCCAGCATCCTGGCCCCTCCCCTGGTCCCATCAGGCCCAGGATTAGTAAAAGCACACAAGTGCCTCACTGTGTTTGCTGGTCCCCCTAACTTTGCCCACACCTCTGTAAGTCTTTTTCTTGGACTATTGTCCAAAGGATATCAATGGACAAACAGCCTCCCTGCTCTTCAGCTCTCAGATTGGCTTGCTCTGTGTGTCTATCAAAGACATCTGGCCCACTCTGCATCTCCAGGGAAGGTTCCTTGATGACCAAGGCTCTGATGCCTGTGCCAGGGCCTGGGGCTTGGTCACTAGCTTTGCAGCACTGTAACCCATGAGCACTTGGGGCCACAGAGAAGTAGCCTTGCAAAAAAGTCCATGAAGAGGAGGCTAAACCTCTTTTTAGATGGGCACCCTTGGGGCTGATTAATTTTTATCCCCTGACATTGACATAAGCTTATGTGATTCGAAGTAACCTGCATAATATCAGGAGTAAGTCTCCCTGTGGCATCTACTGAGGGGGGAATAGAACAGGGAACAATTTTGAAATGAATGCTATTGGTCCTGAGAGATGCTAAGGACCCTGAATGCAAGTAAAGGAGGAGGGAATCCCGTGAGGCCTTACCTTTGTTGAAACATCTATTGATCCTCTTGTCAGCTCCGCAGAGTGGAACACACTTGGGTTTTGAGGTTGTCTGTACCTGGGCGACATTCTGGCTTGAACCCTGAGGGCCTGCAAGGCCCAGGGATATTGTCATAATTTCTCTGAGTTTCTTTTTCCTCTTTTGCAAAATAGGGATCACATTCTTCAAAGACTCGTGTGAGATTAAATGAGACACTATGGGAAGGCCTGGCCCCAGGTCCAGTGCAAAGTAACATCTCAGATTAATCATATCTATATTTCTTGTCAATGCTTAGCCGAAATAGCACAATACATCAGACTCTTGAAAGATCTTCTGCTTCTTTGTGCTTTGCAACATTTTCTCTTGAGTATTACTAAGGCCCATCAGTAGCTGTCTCAGAGGGAACCTTCCCTGGCCTCTGCACTTGAGTGTCTCCATTTTCGGACTTCACAGCTCTGGCATCCGTCAAGCTTGTAAAACTGCAGAGTCTGGGGCTCCACTCAGGTCTGGAAGGCATGAGGACTTCCAGTCTTGATGCAATGGGCTTTTAATTTCATTGGTGATTTTTTTTCTAAAGGCCAAGTCCAAGAGGGAAGGAGAAGGTTGCTCTTGGCTGATGAGGACTATGTCACAACAGCCAGAGGAGGTTCCCTTGCCCCAGTCCCTGGCTTCTGGTAGACATGGTCCCCCAGAAAGATGCTCTCCTTCCTAGAAAAGTATCCAAATATCCAGGAGTCCAATCCAGATATGCCCATACTGTCAGGATTTCCAAGCAAATTTCAAGGCTTACAACTAGAGCAGCAAATTTTTATCAAGAAAAGAAATAAGTCTGTGCTGGGATGTAGCTTAGTGGTAGCATGCTTGCCTAGCGCATGCAAGGCCATGGGTTCAATCTCCAGTCCCGCAAAGAAAAACAGAAACAAGACCAAGGACTGAGTGAAAGTGAATCCCTCTCTAAATGATCCACCTACAACATCCCACAGGAGATTACAAAGTACCACCTGTCTGCCCCTTATCAAAAGGCAATAATGCCAGATTTCCTGACTTCCATCTGGATACTAATCAGGAAACACAATTGTTTTGTAATCTGTAGAGTTCCTTTGCTTTCTTTCTTTCCTTACTTGTTTTCTCTATTTTGAGTGGCAAAAAATAAAAATTGCTGGGTGCATTGTGATCTAAATATTAAATTCTGCTGGCACATTATAGCACTCTGGTATATACCCCACTTCCATGCATTTCCTTAGCCTTGACCCCTATTTGTTCATATATTGCTTTTTATTTTTATTTTTGGTACCAGGGATTAAACCCAGGAGTGCTACCACTGAGCCACATCCCTAGTATGAATGTATGTAGGTGTATATATATAATTTTTTTTTTTAGAAACACGGTCTTGCTCTGCTCTTTAGGGCCTCACTATGTTGCTGAGGCTGGCTTTGAACTCATGCCTCCTGCCTCAGCCTCTAGAGCTGCTGGGATTACTAATCTATTGATTTTTTTTTTTTTTTTAGTTGTAGGTGGACACAATATCTTTATTTTATTTATTTATATGTGGTACTGAGGATCAAACCCAGGGCCTCACACATGCAAGGTGAGCACTCTACTGCTGAGCCACAACCCCAGCCCTGGTCTATTACTTTTGACCCCTGTGAAGCAAGCAGTTAATTTCTCCAGATCTCTATTGAACTATCCTTGTCACACTGACCCAATCACATGCACACAGGAAGATCTTTGGGATCTTAACCATCCAGAATCAAGGGCCCTATTCTTTGAAAGGGCAAAATCTACATGTAACATGAATGAAGAAATGCAACTATTTCTTTTCTGACAAGTCTCTCAGCTTTTTCTGTCATGGTAGCTCTATCGATACTTAACTTTTATGTTATTCCCGAGGGCTGGCTTAGGACATACCATATTGTGATGGAAGGTGAAGACCATCCTGGGGCGTTAGGGTTTGGGACGGTGTGAGAGGTAGCCAGAGTTGGTCCCTGCCAGATATTATTCATCTGGTTCATAAAGTCTTTTCTGGGGGTGACTCCAGAACCATTGCTTCTTTCTTTGTTGTCTCTGAAAAATGAAGTAAATAAATATGGTTAGGTCCCAGGGAAGTCATGCCTATTTCTAGTGATGAGCCTAGTAACACAGCTATATGCAGAGTTTTCAGTCTCATCTGATTCCTAGAGAATGAGACAGATCCATTTATCCTGGCCATTATCCTGCATCAGATGACAACCAGGTTAGGAGCAAAGGGTAAACACTCATTCAACATTCATTCATTCCACAAATGTTCACTGGGCACCCATTCTAAGGTGGGGTCAGGTTACAGAGATGGGCACAGCATGGTTTCTGCTCTCAGGACACCCACAGGCTAATGGGGAGATACCACCTGTCACAATGACCTGTAGGAAGCAAGCAATCAAGATGCAGTGGGGGTGAAGGGAAGGAAGCTTGGAGGATCCACCAAATACACAACATGGAACCCCGGATCAGGTTCCAGGGAGCTCATCCAACCACTGAACAGAACCCCAGATCACACTCATGGCAGGTCAGTTGGGTTATCTTTTGGTCTAAGGAGAACATCATTACCATAGTGTTTTGAATGACATTTGAAGAAATGACTGCCTAATGCTCCGGTAAGTCCAAGCTCTTTGCTCAACATTATGGAAAATTACAGCCTGTTGGTGGAGATCATTTCTCCCTGACATGGGAAATCATGTTCCTGTGAATCACTCCACACCCCACAGCCAGTATTTTTCATCACATATGAGCTATTATTTCCAGCTGGGTGTTGACAAGACAGAACTGTTCACTAATGCTTAAGTAATAGAGTGGAAAATAGTTGACAAAATAGGAAAAGGTTGATTTTGATTATACATACAATCTCTTCTTTAAAGAACAAAATGTGTTTGTGCCAGCATGAGTCATTCTTCACAGGGTTGTGAAGTGATCTATATATTTAGATGGTTATTTAATTGGTTTGTTTTAAAATAATAACTTGACTAAAATATGCTCGCTTTCTGTGTGCATATTATAAAAACTTAAGATATATACAAAGAAATTAATGCATGAAACAAATCCTGCTACCACCAATAACTCCTGTTAATATATTGTAAGCATCTGCTCAGATATAACTCTATAATGGAGTGAAGAAATGGATGAATGAACAAAAATAACTTTATAAGAATGGAATCATATTTCTTATAAAATACTAAATTTAGTTGCATATGAATTTAATAGAAAACAAAATATGCTAACATTAAAGTAAAGTGATAGAATTTATAGAACTTTCCTTAAACAATTGCTTGAAGAATAAGAAAAAAATATATCATTAATAGAACATCTTTCTAATTACTTGTTTCATTCCCAGAAAGGTTGAAGCGAAAGATCTTGCTATAAAAAGTTAAGTGACCAGCATGCTTGTATTTTCTCTCATCTTTCTTTGTACCATCTCCTGATTATTTTGGTGTTTTATTTTGTTTATTTCATCAAGTTTATGTGTTGAGATTCGGTTCTGCAATCATACTTCTCTCTGTTGGTGCTGTTTGATTTTACCTTTGGTTCCATATTTAAGCTGACTCAACACTTACTAGTGATTGTTTTTTCATTCCTTGATTTGGCTCTTGGTGGGATGCTTTTCTTCATTGCAATGACATATAACATTGATCATACATGAACATGGTCACGTGGCATTTACTATGGGCCAAGGAGTATTTCAAGCACTATGTATGTATAAATTCACTGAATCTATGCAACTCAATGACATAGTGACTACTATTGTTCTATTTTGCAGATGAGGAGACTGAGACACAAAAACAAAAACAGTTCAACAACTTGTTTAAATTACAGAGCTGGTAAGTAGCAAAGCCAGGATTCAAACCCAGGTGGTCTGGCTTCAGAGTCCGCATCCTTGAAGTCTTCCTTTCAGAAGGTTTATGGCTGCTGTATTTTCTGGGCTCTATTATGTCTGAAAATCCCTTCCCCTTCCCCTTCCCCTTCCCCTTCTCCCCTTTACCTAAGGGGCAATTTGACTGCATTAAAATTTCTCTAGGCCACAGTTCTTTTCCTGTGTTAGACATTGCTCTACTGTTGTGTGGTACTGGGAGTTAACAGAAAGAAATCTACAGCCTCTTTAATATTTTCTCCTTTTTGCTTCTTCAGTTGGACAGAATTCTTTATCTTTGAGGTTGAATAGCTTAATCACTTAATCACTAGATGACTCAATGTATTATTCTATATCGGTTTTGCCTAGACCACAGTGTGATCTTTTGAACTGCTAATTTAATTCATCTATCATTGCAGGAAAACTTTCCTGTATTATGTCTTCCAATATTTTTCTGGTTTATCTGTTGGGCTCTTATCAGGAATTTTAGATATCCTTATATATAACTGTCTTTGAGCTCTTTCGCTACTATATGATTGATTCTCTTTCTTTACATTTGCTGTGATTATATCATCTTTACCTGTAAGTGGTCTGACTTTTTAGCCATGTCTACTATTTCTATTTCTATTAGTTACTCAGCATTTTATTTTGTTCCTTTAGTTCTTTGATATACAGATCCATCTCCTTTTGTTGTTTTATCATCTTATTTTGATCTTTTGTTTTATTTATGTTCTTACTAAGGTCTCACATAATACACACACTTGCAAGGAATCTGCTTACAATTTTGGTTTTGGTTTTGGTTTTGAATTCTTCCAGGCAGGAGTTTTTTCATGACTTCAACTTGTATCTTTTTCCCCTTAAAATATTTATACAGTAGATGTGCCCCTTCCTCACTCTCTTTTTTTCCTGGCCATGAGATGAAGCAAAGAGAGTGAGCAAGCGGCAGGGCCCCACAATACCCTTGAAAAGCATGCTCCCAATGACCTAAAGACCTCCCATAAAGCCCCACCTTCTACAAGCTCTACCACCTCTCAATAGTGCCACCCTAGAAACCAAGACTTTACCACGTGGGCCTTTGGAAGACATTCTAGATCCAGATACAGCAAAGCCCAAGGTTTCACTCCTTTCTAGGATGCCCAATTCATCTAACCAAGGGCAAGTCCACTCTCCTGACCTCACCACATTCCTGCAGGTCCACATTTTGACCTGGAGGCCCTTCCTCCCCCAACAATACCCAGGGTCAAGCACTGCTTCAAGAACTTTTCCTAAAATTTTCCCAAAATTTTTTTACTCACTCCCTCAGTCTTGAAGCTGGAGAGCATTGGTGGGAATCTTCATGATTTCATTAACTAGCCATCTTTATTCCAAAAGCCTTGGGGAGAGAGGAGGTGAGGTCTCTCTTGCCTCTACTTTCTGAGGATTTTATTGAGCATTTTAAAAAAACAGATCTGGTTATTACTACATTTTCTCATTTGTGTTAGAATTTTAAAACACAATAATATTTCTGCCCATTTAACTTTCTTTTTAAATTAAGGTAAAATTCACACAGTCACCATTTGAGTAAGTTCACAGTGTTGTTCAACAGTCACATCTTTCCAGTTCCAATTCTTTTCATCAACCCAAGAGAATACCCCACACCACTGAGAAGTCACTCTCTATTTCTCTCTCCCTAGTCCCTGGCAACAACCAATCTGATTTCTGTTTCTATAGATTTTTGTTTTGTTTTGGTTTTTGTTGTTGTTGTTATTGTTGTTTGTTTTTGGTACCACAGATTGAACCCAGGTGTGCTTAACCACTGAGCAACATCCCCAGACTTTTTTTAAAATATTTTATTTACAGATGGGGTCTTGCTGAGTTGCTTAGGGTCTCACTAAGTTGCTGAGGCTAGCTTTGAGCTCACAATCCTCCTACCTCAGCCTCCAGAGATGCTGAGAATACAGATACACCACACCTCTCTGTTTCTATAGATTTTTTTAAAAAGCTATTATTATTATTTTATATAAATATAATCATATAATGTGTGACCTTTTGCATTCAGCTTCTTTCACTTAGCTTAATGTTTTCATCATAATCCATGTTGTATACACCAGAACTTCATTCTTTTCATAGTCCAATGATATTTAATTCTAGGAATATCTGTGTTTTACTCATTCATTCACTTGATGAGTATGTGAGTCATTTTCACCTTTGGTGATTTTTGAACAGTGAGGCTATGAATATTCTTAGACACGTTTTATTTTTTCTTGTTCTTTTTTTTCCCTTTTGATGCTTGTTTTCATTTATCTTAGATATATACCTACAAGTAGAATTTCTTGGTATGTGAAATTGAACATGGTTATTCTACAGTTAACTCTTTGAGATATTACCAAAGTTCCTCCATGGTGGCCATTTTCATTTCCACTAGCAATGCACAAGTGTTTCAGTTTCTCTATGTCCTTGTCAACACTTATTATTCTCTTTTTTTTATCACCATCATCATTATTATCATCCAGTTCATTTTTAAATTATTTTTGCTAATATTATCAGATTAACACCCTGGTAAAGATTTATGAAATCTTGGTCTCCCATTTACCCCAGTTTTCTCCACAGTGGTCTCTTTGTTTCCTGGCAAAGCCATTCATCTTTATGCATTTGTGGAATTGATAAATATTTATTGAGTACTTACCACACACCAGATTCTGACTAGGCATTGGGGATAAAGGAATGAGGAAGACAGGATCACCCTCAAGTTGCTCATTAGAGAACAAGCAAAATAGATATTATGTTAGTTTCCTACTCCTACCATAACAGATAGCCACAAACTTAGTGATTTAAAGCAACAAACATTTATTAGTTAAAGTTCTCCAAATTAGATGTCTATCATAGGTCTCACTAGACTAAAAATCAGCATGTCAGCTGTTCTACTTTTCTTTCTGGAGACCTTGAGAAAGGATCCATCTCCTTACCCTCTGGCTTCCTAGACGCTTCCTAATACCTTTGGCTTGTAAGTTCTGCCTCCATCTACAAAGTCAGCATTTGAGCTTCTCTCTGACACTGCCTCTTGTTAGGGTCTGTAAACAAGTCAGGATGGCGCCTGGCATTTTGCCAGAGGGAGTGGTTTGTGAAGTAACGCCAGCAAGCCATTAAGTGTGGAGATTCCTTATTGGTTGACTGCGGTATCTAGTTTATGTTAATTAAGATAAGCTGT